TGGCACTGGGGGTGGCACTGGGGGGACAGGAGGGTTGTGCCGCAGGGAATGGGGCAAGCGGTGGGGTGGGATGGGGCTGGAGGGAAGCGGGTGCTGCACCCACATCCCAGGGAGTCTTTCTGGACTCTCCAGGACGCAGCCGTGCGGGTGGGAGCTCAGGGAAGGAGCCAGGGTTGTGACTCCTGGGCTGTGCCTCCCTCGGGGTGAACACGGCCAGGGCAAAGGATCCAGCCCCGATCCCAGGCTGCTGCATCTGTATCCCCATCCTGACACATCTGGAGGGTCAGCAGCCCTGAGGACAGCCTTCCTGGGGCCAGTATCCCTGTGACAGCATCCCCGCCATCAACCTCTTTGGGATCGGCATCCCTGGAACAGCATCCCAGAGAAGAACATCCCTGGTGCCTCCAGCTCGAGCTGGGGAGCCACGATCAGGCTTTCCCAGAGCTGAAGGGAAGATCCTTTCCCTGCGGGACAGCCCCGGCATCACCTGCCCTGCATCCCTGCGGGGAAACGGAGGTGAGGGATGGAACAGCCGGCATCACCCGGATCACCCATCCCCAAAACACCCATCCCCGTGCTGGGGGCACAGAGAGTGGGCAGGCAGTGCTGGCAGCACCGGGGGTCCCCCAGGATCTGCTTTATCCTGGCTAACAGAACACCGGGATCCCGGCAGCATCCCCCGCCTTGGTGCGGGATGGGGACAGGGATGGGGACAGGGATGGGGACAGGGATGGGGACAGGGATGGGGACAGGGATGGGGAACCCACAGCCCCACAGTTTCTCTCTGGCTTTCTGTCAGGCACTGTCTGGATCTGGCCATTTCTGTTTGGGGATGTCAGGGGGGAAAAAAACCCAGGCTAAAGGTCCCAGCAATGGGAGATACCAGAGCAGGAAATTAATGTTAATTAATTCATAATGACTCTGAGATAGTGATACCAGATGCTTCAAAAGTCCAACGGGGGAATCTGAAAGAGCTTTGCAAGAAATCCATCGCCCACCAGCAGTCCTGCCTCGCTGCAAGCTGGGAATGAGGGAGTGAGCTGGGAACCAGGATCAAGCTGGGACTGGAAGACCACACTGGAACTAGGGAACAAGCTAGGAATGAGCCAGGGATGGTGAAAGAGGGGAACATCCCTGTGAGGTGACAAGCTCACAGTCACCCAGAGCTGTGGAGAGCAGGGATCCTGCCACCTGCCACCACCTTTCTCCCTTCCAGCCCAACTCAGAAGCTGGAGTGGAGCTGGAGTGACAAGACTCCTGCCACACTCTCCTCCCTGGGGCACAGGGGCTTCCTGAGACCCTCAAAGCTCATTTGTTCCCTTTCCTTCCCTCCATTTCGGGCACACCAGGCTCAGGGCAGGTGGCTGGGCATGCACTGGGCACTCAGGGGGGATGGAGGGACAGGCTCATGGTCTGGGACATGAACCCCCACACTCAGAGGACAATTTCTCCCTCCTCATCCATGCCAGCCTGCCTTTGCCCTGCACTGCCAAACACAAACTGGACTGGATTTTAGCCGAGGGGTGCAAAAGAGCTTAGAAAGGTTTGAGCCCAGATCCACCTCCCCAGGGCTGGGGATGCCAGAGCCAGCGCTGGGAAGGGTGCAACCAAGAACTCTGCAAAAAGCACAGGCAAACCCTTGGGCTCAGAGCTGTTTGCCCTGACAGGGGAGATTCTGCTCCTTCCCACAGTGACACAGCAGCACCTGCACCCAGAGGGCACCCTCAGAGCCGGGAATTGAGGTGTCTGAGGCCACACAGGGCCTGGCAGAGCACGGTGGCACGGCTGGGGCACGGCACTGCCATCACTGCTTACATAAGGTGTCCCCTCCAAGTGCCAGCACCGAGCGGTGACAGGAGAGCAGGACAGAAGTGTCCCTCCAGCAGCCCCTCACAGGGACAGCGCTCCCACTGCTTCTGGAGACAGCACCCCCAAAACTGCCAAGCCGGCCTCCTTCCCCCTGCACAGAGGTTGGGTGAGGCTCCCGTGTCTCTCAAGCACATTCACACCCTAAAAGCCCCTCAAAGCTGGCAGGAGTTGGGGTGGGAATGTTGGGTTTTGGCTCACGGCGCGGTTCCCCCGACAGCTCCTCCGAAGTTTATCTGCAGCAGGAGAGGTTTGTGCTGCGCTGCCAGTGAAGCCACCCCAGCCAGCAGGAGAGGGGAAAACCCCACTGTGAGCACCACGGAAAACTACAGAGCACCACGGCACCAGAGTCAGGGAGACACCAAAATCCCACCCCAGCTGGTCCCAAGGGATTTGTCGTAACCCCCTGGGTTATTCCAGGGCTAAGGAAAAAAACTACTTCGACTTCACAGGTAAAGGAACTCTTTTGGGTAAAGAGCAGCAGAGGCAACAGAGGATTTCAAAGTGTGTTTTGGATCAGAGGCAAGAAGTGAAGTGGCCTTTACGGTGCCTTCTCCAGCAAAGCCAGGGCTTTATTAAGCTTATCTGGCAAGGATGGGAACGCTCGCTGTTATTCCAGGCCTGAAAAGAGCAGGCAAGGATTTTTTCTTTCTTTATTTTTTTTTTTTCTAGTCTTGTTTTCATTATTTTCTGGTGGCTTCACTGCTTTGTGCTCACACAAAGGGAATTTCACCTGCTGTTCCAAAGAAAAGGCCCTGGAAAGTTTTGTGGAGAAGGGGATGAGGGGTAGAAGGTTTGTAGGAGCAAAATGAGTTGTTGCAGGGCTTGTTGTGGATTTTTTTTCCCGGTGACCTGTAAAACATCCCCAGCTCTTTGCTGCTTGCAGAAGACCTGGCACCAACATGAGAGTCCCCTGTCCCCACCAGCGTCACCCCTGGCATGGGAAGGTCTCAGAAATTGGGGATGATTTGGGGTGCAGAGGGAAAGCAGTGGGACAGCTTCCCATCTTTATCACGGGCAAAGTCACGCCACGCTTTCTAAGAACAGGAAAGAAAAAAAAACCCAGCCCTCGTTTGCTGACACCACAGCAAAACAGGTGGTTCAAAATCACAAGTGCAAGGGGGGGAGGAAAAAAAAACCCCGATTTGGTGATTTTGTGCTCATATTCACTGCAAAACTGTCCGGGAAGGCTGCTAAATACACACCATTTTCCCTCTCACACTCTTTGCTCTATAATTAAGAGAGACTTCTAAAAATACAAACGGCCTCGAGCACCCAGTTGAAGGCGTGCAGGTGCTGCTAACTGGAGGCACTTTAGTACAGCTCATTTTCTGGACAATTTTACTCGCCTGGCTCGTGCTCGGCGCCGATACTATTACAGTGATGCAATTCTGCTGCTGCTGCTGCTGCTGCTGCTGCTGCTGCTGCCGTGGTCGGCTCGCTCGGCTTTTTCCCTGCGCTTTGCAGTTTTGCCTTCAAAGCCCCCCCAGCCCTGCAGCTCCCAGGCTCCCCCCAAGCGTGTCCCTGCCAGAGGGGCCTGGGGATGATTGGGTCAGGCAGGTTTATTTTGTGTGTGTGTCTGTGTGTCACAGCCACATGTGAACATCCCTGTGCGGGCATCGAGGGGCATAACCCCGCGTGGGCATCGCCCAAAACAAGCGCTGTGCAAAAGTTTTGGGTGAGGAAGCCAGCTGGCCTGGGGAAGCGAGCAGAGGGGAGCAGGAGCTCGGAGAGGAACCCAAAAAGCAGCAGCAAAGCCTCAGTGCTGGCTGGGCAGAGAAGGGGGCCCATGGCACGGGCACGGTGACGCCGCTTGGCAAAACATCTCCCACCCCCCCAAGCTGGCATTTGGGGCACAGGGGTGAGGGGGAACTTTCCCCGTGGAGCCACCACTGCCAAACTTCCCCGTCTTATTTCTCCATTAGGGCTGCAATAGGTGGAAGTGATTGACTCACTATGAGACTGCTGTTTTTGCCTCTGACTTGGGATTAAGACGGAGCTGGAGGAGCGGAGGAGCCGTCGTTGGCAGGCACTTACCTCTCACTGCATCCAGCCCCTCCGGCCGTGGGGCTGCAGCTCCTGGAGAGTTAGCTGGCAGGGGACCCCACATCCACTCGGGTTTCTCCCAGGACCGACGTTTGGCTGCTGCTTCTTAGGCACAGACCCAACCCCTCCATTCCAACCACAGGGGGGAAAAAAGAAATCTTCTTCCCAAAGAAAAAAAAAAAAAAGAGAAATAAAAATAAAAAATAAAAATAAAAAAGGAGGGAGATTAAAAAAAAAAAAAAAAGGGGGTGGGGGAAGGAAAAAAAAAATAAAAAAGCAAACACGCTTTTTTTCTTGGTTCGGTTTCCCCGTGGAGAAAAAAAAGAAAAATAGATAAATCCCAGCGACCAAGAGATCCAGACTCAGGTGAATTTAGCTTCAAACTCCCTCTGCGCTTTCGGAGCCTTCACCCTCAAATGGGCTCTGGAAGATGCTGGGGGACCCATGGTTGCCAAAGTGTCATCAAATATCCTTCGGGCTCAACTCCGCTCCTGCCCGGGGAGGGTGGACTTCTTCCCTTCTTCCCTGCTTGCTGCGTGCTGTGGAGTTGGCAGGGACCTGCCTGTTCCAGCCTCAGCGTGGAGGGTGGGTGGGTTTGGTTGGTTGATGTGGGCTGGTTTTCTTTTTTTTTTTTCTTTTTTTTTTTTTTTTTTTTTTTTTTTTTTTTTTTCTCGCCGCTATTGGTTTTCTTGCTATCTGATCCTGAGCGAGCGCTGCAGCTCGCCGCTTCCCTGCTTTCCCCCCCCTTCCCAGCTCCCAGGCTTTTGACAGGGAATGAAACACAGACACCCAGTGAGACAGGCTCCGGCTTCTACAAAGCTCCACTCCCTCCTGCTGCCTTTGTCCGCGAACAGCAACTCCTCCAACTCTGCCCGTAGACACGAGGGAACCTCTGCATCAGCACTTTCCTAATGGCTGCTTCACCCCTTCGGCCCTTCTTCTTCTTCTTCTTCTTCTTCTTCCTCGCTTCCTCTCCTCTACCTTGATGGCTTCCGCTTGTTTTTTCCAGCCCTGGCTCCGGCAGCCACGGCACAGGGAAGCAACAGCCCTTTCCCGATGGATCCATCTCAGCTCCCCGGCTGCGCTCGGGGGGCAGCGGCCCCGCTCCCCATCACCCTCCTTCCTGGGCACCCTCCGTGGAAAACCCATCCTGGGAACCTGAAAGCTTCACTTTGGGCTGGTTTAAGGGGCAGGGGGCTGCGTGTGTGGCAGAGGGAGGGCTGAGAATTGGAGCCACTTCTTTTTATTGCAGGCGGGGATTATTTTTATTTTTGGGATTTTTAAAAGGTTGACTGGAGTCCAAGTTTGTTTCTTTTGTGGTGAGCATTATTTTAAGCCATTTGGGAGGCTTTGGGTGTCTCCAGGTTACATTATCCTTATAATAGCGAGGCCTTTTTGGAGAGGGTCGAAGTGAAACCTGGCTCCCACAGCCTCTTTCCCCCACGGAGGGGAGCGGGAGGCACAGGGATGCTGCAGTGGGCTCACAACCTCTGCTGGCTCCCAGCCAGAGGGAGATGCAAACCAGCCACCGTCTGTAATTTTTGCTACACTTCCTCCACACTCGGTCACCCGCGAGATCCCAGGGCTGCTGCCTGTTCCTTTTTTGGGGATTCACAGGCTTTGTTAAAAAAAAAATAAAAAATAAAAAATCACCAGGAGTTGTTTTTTTTTTTTTTTGCCAGGAGACCTCCAGCCTCACCAACGATGCTCGGTGCTGCTCAGGAGCTGGCAGGTCACAGAAAAATCACTAAAGCCCCCCACATGTAGAGGCTGCCTCCCCACCTGCCCTTTAGCAGCCTCTCCCTCACTTTTCTTTGTCTCTCACCACAAGTTTGGGACCAGCAATTCCTCCCTCTCACCTTTGACAGCATCCTCAGCGGTGACCCTGCTGGTGCCCAGCTCCCATCCTGTCCCAAGATGGAGCACTGTTCCCTCACTGCTCCCAACACCCCAGACACCAGAGCACCTCAGGGAAATGCTCCCGGTGCTGCCTCCACTCCCCTCTCCACACTGGCTTGTCCTTCCTCACCCGGTTCCACAAACCTCAGGAACACTGAATTTTAACCAACACCAACATCCCAGGATGGAAAGCACTGCAGGGCCTCGTCACAACCCTGATGGATACAGCAGGGATTTGGGATTTGCAGATCCGAGGGGAGACCAGCTCACACACTGAGCGTGGTGGGCTTGTGCAGGACCACCCAGGGACAACCTGATCCCAAAACATTTCTCCTTTCTGTCTGTCAGGCAGCCCCCCATGTGCCACCTGCTCCTCCCTGGTGCCTCCTCTCCTGTCACCCCACCATGCCCATGGAATGCTTCCCAAATATCTCCCTGCCCCGATGCCCAGCCACAGGTGCCAGACCAAAGCTCCTCATACTCCCTTCAAAAACAGACACCATTAATGCACCCAAAAACTGGCTGCAGAGCTGGGGTGGGAGACTGGCCATGGGCCAGGGGCACACACTGGGGAGAGGGGAGCAGCTTCAGGCTCCCCAGTCCAAGACTGGGGCTGGCTGGGAGGGCTGGCTGGAGCTGGGCACAGCTGGCCGGGCTGGTGTTCCCATCACCTGCCCATGCTGCTGGCTCATCCCTCTCTCCCCAGTTTGCTACAGGAATTGCAAATGGATAGCCTGGGATTTCCATCCCGGTAAGCTCCAGGTTCCCTCTGCTTTGGGGCAGAAGTTCCCCGTGTTTTCCCACCAGGGCTGGGGAGAAGCTCGTTGTCCCCTTCTGTCAGCGCAGGACCCCCGTGTCCCGTGGGCTCCCAGCCAGGGAACAGCTCCAGCCAGAATCCAAGCTCCCACTGCCCCAGGCCATGAGTGGCCACTCTTTTAGGAACTGCCCAAGAGAGGGAAGGAGACAGGGGGTGAAATGAGGGGTGCCCCCGGCAGGGTCGAGCCCCTTGCGAGCGCCCGCAGCGCGGCTGCGCAGGGCCACGAGCGAGTCAGCACCGAGCCATTAGGGCTAATTTAATCAAGACGGATGGCCCGATTGGAGGGCTGCCGTCCATAAATCCCCCACTCCCGCTGCATTAGTGTCAGGGCTCCCAGAGGAACCGGCCGAGGGGGAGGCGCGGGGGAGCGGGGATGGAGAAACGTGCTCAGTCACCCGTCCTCCCGATGGCACAGGGCTGCTCGGATCGGTGCCACCACCCTGTCCCACACACCGTGGGGACACAGCCCACCATCCTCCAGCCCTTCCAAAAACCTAGCCACTGGAGAGGGTGGCATTTCAATCAAACTGGGCTTGCTGAACCCCAGAAGGTGCAGGGATGTTCGCAAATCCCACAGGGCAGGGGTTTGCTCCCATGGGCGTCTCGCCCATTTGCTCCAATGGGTTTTGGAGCAGGAGGAAGGTGGGGTGCTGGGGGAAATAGGCTTGGAGCTTCATTGTAGGTCCCAGTGTGATAACTGGGAATTGGAAATACAAGCTGAGACAGCGCCAAGGCTGGTGGATGCAGCACTCGCCCCAGAGCCCAGCAGGACACGCAGAACTCAAGCCACACCAGACCACGACAGCACTGCAGGACATCCCCATGGAACACCAGCTCCTCTCCCCCAGCACCCCACTCCCCTCCCTCTTCTGCTCCTAGAAAAGGCCATTTGCAGGCTCAGGGTTGCCATCTGATGACCCAAAACACGTCCCCCCATCCACCGGGCAGTGGGAGCCGCGCCGCACGAGCCAGCTCAGGAAATAAGCTCTCATCCATCCAGGTTAAAAATAACCGTGAGCTTTGCCATGGACACGCCTCGCCCTGACGCTCCGGCCGAGCTGGCTCCCATCCCGCCTGCCCACCCAGCCCACCGAGCTCCCGGCCACAAAGCGGCCGTGGGGAAGGGTCCGGCCATCTGCTCCGGGCGCTGGCAGCGCCGCCGGCGCGGGATGCCGGCTCTGCCAGGCCGCGCTCTTGGCCGGCAAAGGGATGCAGAGGGCCAAGACCCGGTGGGATTTGGGAAGACAACGGGCCAGGGGATGCGGCAGACGGAAGGGAGGATGGCACGGGTTTGTGGGCACCGCTCTCGCCCCCGGAGCGCTCACGGAGGCTGTGACAGGGGAGAGAGCAGGGGTGATAGCCCAGCACAGAGGATATTTGTGTTACCAGGGGATCTCAGCCTGGGAGAGCAGTCCAGGATGTCCAGGAGCAGTTGGATGATGGAGAGAGGAATGCTCAGACCTACCCTCCGTGTCCAGAACATCTCAAGGGCTGTGTTGGCACAGAGGGAGCAAAACCAGAAGAGCTCAGGGAGGTTGGCCCCAGGGCTTGAGGAGCAGTGAACTTTGGCACTGCCGTGGATTTATCTGGAAACAGAGGAACGAACATTCCTATGCACCTCTGGTTTCTGGCTGTGCTTCAGTGAGACCAGGAGGGAGGAAGGGCAAGGAAGGAGCCCAGCTGCCAGCAGGAGGAGCACAGCAGCTGAGGTCTTTTGATTGTGGTGCTTTTTTGGCACTACGAGCGAGGTCCTGGGGACCACAAACTGTTGATGGGGCAAGAATTGGCCATTGCCACGCAGGGATGTGGAGGGGCTCTCCATAGGTTGGTTGCACCACGCCCAGCAGGTCTTGCTCTCTCTGCTCAGCACCTTCGTATCCACTCCCCCAGGAAAAAAAAGTAGAGGCAGGATTGGGCCTGAGGAACCATCAGCCAGGAGCAAAAATCTGTTCCATGAACAGCCATGGAGCAGGTGAGCCATTTCTCCCCGGAATGGCTAGCACAGGAAAAAAAAAAAAAAAAAGACATTTGTATTTCTGCCAGTTGACAAAATGAAATGCCACTTGTAGCCAGTGAAACTCTGCAGATTTTGCTAATGAAGGACTGCTCCATCCAGCTTCCAGCTGGATTGCAGCCCCAGCCACAACACGGACACTGGCAGCATCCCCCGTCGCATCCCAGCACCGGTGCCACTGCAAACCCAAGCACTGCCCCATGGCAGGGACACAGATCCCATTGCCAGGTTTGCTCCCACCCCTTGCTCCCCTGTGTTTGCCCTGGGGACCGTGCTGCTGGGATGGCACCGTGCCCCTAGGGAGGCTCTAACACATCTTAGGAAATTTTCCCATTCTACTCAGCCTAATTTCACCCATTAGAGCTTGTTTCAGCAGGGTCCCGAGGGAATGTCGCTCCCCAGCATCCTCCTCTGACTCTTCCTCCGCTTCTCCTCTTCCCGTGCACACA